ACAGAGAGAGACAGAGAGAGACACAGAGAGAGAGAGAGAGAGAGAGAGAGAGAGAGAGAGAGAGAGAGAGAGAGAGAGAGAATCTAGATACATAGGGTGAGGTCCCACCAGCAAACACGATTGGATAAATATATGGAATGTGGACGTGTTTTAACCGGAGATGCAGAAAAGCAGTTCAATTTTGGTTTCTGCACCTTTCACAAACAAGTCCAGATTCAGGTGCTCAATCCAATCCTCTTCGCTAGTGCGAGCTCGCCCGCAGGGACTAACCTCTCGCCGACTTTAGATACTTAACTCGCCAGAGCTCGAACTAATGGCACGCTTTCCGTGCACCTCGCTTGTCATGGGACGACCGAGACCGAGTCCCCTGGATGATCCACAAAGGCAGCAACAGCTAGTTTAAAAAAAAAATAAAAATAAAAAAAAATGATGTGTTTTCCTGCAATTGCGCTGGGACGACTGGTTCACCATGATGATGATCCATTAGTCCATGATGATGTGTTTACTACAATGTCACTTCGGCTGCCAAACGTTGTCATGGAACCTTTTGTCGATGCGGTTTCTGCACGTCTCCACAAACAAGTCCAGATTCGGGTACCGAAGTCTTCCCTTGCGGCGTTCAGGCACCAGGAGCCATGTCCCATTTCCCCCGGTCCCTCATAACTGACCGTGGATGACAACGACCGACGGCCAGAATTGAAAGGCATAATTCCGGCAATTGGGACTCTGGGCGAAGAGGAGAAGGGGAAAGGGACTCTGCACCACTCACCGAATCTGAAAAAGACAAACAATGGGTCTGTACCCGGCCGGAGATGCGGGGCTAATGCCCAAGGTTCGCATCCACTGATGTAGGTGACGCTTCTCTTTTTCTAAAGAAATGATAAAGACATTTTTATTTGTTTTTTTGGGACAAAAAAAGAGAAAAAAGTCCCCCTACCATGGCGTATTCGTCTCTCAATTTCACCTTTTGCTATCTACCTACCACGACTCCTAAGCCTATAGAGGGGACCCCTACAGGGCCTACACATTTGGTGAGCAGTGCGGCAAGGCGCCTCGCCCAGTGACAGGTGAAGGAAATCCGCACGCAAGAGACAGGGACGAGGGTCGCGCAGGTTACCCCCCAGCCCGATGGGTTCTTTTTTTTTTTTTTTTTTAATAGCCCGATGGTTTTGACTTGCCGCAGTTTACGGTCAACCATTGAATAAACAGACCGAGTGGTCGAGTCCAGAGGTCAGCTCCGGCGTACGGTCAGGGGCTATCACTCACGTTCAGCAAGGCCGTACAAGTTGGCGCCCAGCCGCCCAGGCAATGATTGCCTCGGCATGGGCTGGGTGGATACGGTCAGAGGCTATAACGTTTTTTTTTTTTTTTTTTTTTTTTTTTTTGCAACATCGCTCCATTCTATTCGTGGGGAGCAGCACTCGCTGGGAACCGGGCCCAGCGTCCCTTATAACAACAGAAAGTGGTAACTTGGGGCCGGGGTCCCCACAGTCTGCCCGGGGTAACTGAAGAACGCAAATGGACCATAGCAGTGGAGTGGAAAGAGTACTCCGAAAACAGCGTCAAACACGAGCGTGGGCTGGAGGCACGGTGCGTTCGCGCTGGAGGCGGCGGTGCCTGTAGTTGTAGCGGCAGTGGTGGTAGGGCCGCGGGGAGAAATCGGTCCGTGCTGCAAGGCACTGACAGGCTAAGCCCTCGCGTCGGGGGAGATGGGGATTTGTTTCGTTTTATACCTGGACCCCACTGCCCGGCGGCTGGAAACTGATGTTGGCCACAAAAAAACGGCCAAGTGTGGTTGGAAAGAAGTTGCGGCGTTTCCTTGGGACCCCACCGCAGCCCTTGACTTTCGAAACGGATGGACATGACCGAAAAGGAAATCCCCCCGGGCTGTTTCCCGAAAAGGCAAGTCGGCCCAGGGATGTGGTCCAGGCCCTTCTATCGGCGTGCACCAGGACATGTCCGTGTGTGGCCGTGCGCGACATGGTGTGGCGGGTGCCGCACAGGTACCGTGCACATCACAATGGCCTCACAGGGTCCGCTCAGACGCCGGGGCGCGACTGTGCACAAAAATGACCGTTGGGAACATCGGCGGAGTTCCCACCTCGCCACCCCCCTTCCGCACTCCTGCAGTCGTTTACAGTTCGACCCGGTGATGCGGACCATCCAGAGTGGGAGCGCATCCAGAGTGGGAGCGCATGTACGGAGCAGTGACGGGGAACCATAGCCGTCGACGAAGGCGGAAGGATTGGCGAGGAGTACGGGTAGTCGAGGGTGGTGCACTCGTGAAGTGGCCGCGACAGCTGGTGTGCAAGGGTCGACGCAATTCCCATCAGATACAGCGTGGCCATGTGTCCATCGGATGAGGGCAGTGCGGAGGACGAGTGGGGACACATGATATTCATGCTCGTTCTCCTCATTACCCAGTGGGTGAACAGGCGCAACGCTGCGGCCATGGCCGTTCTTGAAGTTGTCGCCATCACCCCGTTCATGTTCCGGGATGTGTCGGGGGCACTCACGATGCTTGCAGGGCGGGTGGTTCATGACATGGCATTGAGCTGGTTAGCGGAGAAGGAGTTGGGAAGGCACATGAGGTTTCGGAGAAGGCGTTTGTGGGTGGTGGAGCGTAGCGGAGGTTTGTGGAAGGACCTGCGAAGGGTGGGTGTGGAGCACGATAAGGTGTTCGTGCGTTTCTGCAGATTACCGTGACCACTTTTTTTGCAAGTTCTTCAGCGCATCGGCCCCCATATCCAACGTTCGCCTACTAATTTTCGGTTGCCCATACCGGCCGGCCAGAAGTTTGCTTGCACACTCATCCGGTGGGCAACGGGCTGGTACTACCGGCAATCCGCCCACAATTTGGGTATGGGCCTTGTGAGTGCATTGAGGAGCAACGAGGACGTCGCAGATGCCATCCTCCACGAGTACGGCCACCTCCTCCAATTCCCTACAGGACGCCGTTTGGAAGAAGTCCCGAATGCTTTCGAGGCAAAGGGGTTCCCCGGATGCGTGGGGGCCATCGACTGCACACACGTGTATAACGATAAGCCGAAGCGGACGCGGTCGGAGTGCTAGTATCATCACACTGGAGACTTCTCGGTTGTCTCGCAGGTCGTGTGTGACAACGAGTGCAAAATTGTCAGTGCGTATGTCGGTTGCCCTGGGTCGGTGGACGACTCCCGTGTGCTGCGGATGTCGCCATTGTACCACAACACCATGGCAGGCAGAGGTATGTTATGCGAGGGTGGAGCTATCATGCACGATGGAAGACATGTCGGTCGTTACGTGCTTGGAGACGCTAGCTACCCCCTTCTCTCGTGGATCATGACACCTATGGGTAAATTCGCGAGAACTGATGGACATCGGACTCAGAGATTTCCATCGAGACATCCGTTAAAATTGGAACGATACAGAGAAGATTAGCATGGCCC